ATTCACCTGTACTCCTTGATAAAGCAAAATACCCCATTTAAGCATCTCCTTATTTTTTTTCAGCACACAGTTTTCCAGAGCCACAGCCAGCAATACATTCCCTTCCTTATCACAGATAGTGGCTTCGAGAAGCACCGTCCCCAATCTTACACTGCACAGCTGCAAAGGCACAGCCAGCAGAGCACAGTGGCTTCACTTACGCTCCTGATGGAGTAGGGTTCTAGTTATTTGATTTACCTGAAAGCAGATTTTGAAATAAAAATTCCAATCAATTCATGTAACTTGTTCAGGACCCGTAGGCAGGGGACAGGGGACAAATAGGAAGAACACTGGGCATTTTTAGGATAGACGAACTATTTTGTGGGATACTGTAATGTTGGGCACATGATGTTGTGCATTTGACAAAAGACATAGGATTGTACAACACAAAGAGAAACCCTGATTCACACTATGGACTGTAATTCACATGCAAAATGCATCAATACTGGTTCATCAATGGTAACAAATATACTAGGAACGCAAGACATTACTGAGAGGGGAAGCTGAATGCAGATGAGTAAAGAGGAATCTAAGAAATCTGTATTATTGTCATGATTTTTCTATGAACCTACATTTGAGCTAAAAAATAAAGTCTATTAAAATAAATCCCAGATGATTCAAGTTTAAGAAGGTTGTATGAGGAAACACTGAGTTGGCAGATGCTGCACAGGAACCTTGGTGATGCTGTCGGAAAAGAGTCAGAATTCACTTGAGGGCAAGTTCGGTTTTCTTTTTTTTCTGAGTTGCCACAGGAGCACTGGTGGCATTGTATGACAAACACTGTACTGCTAACTGTAAGGCCAGCAATTTATGTTCAGGAAAAAGATGAGGCTTTCTGTTCCTGTAAAAATTGGCACTTGGGAACTCATATATAGGGTTTCCTACAAGCTTGAGAACTAAGGTACGCCTGACTCATGTCATGGGATTTTCATTAACCTCATATGCATGCAAAAGTTGGACAGGAATAAGGAAGACTGTAGAGGAATTGATGCTTTTGAGTTATGGTGTTGGAGGAGAATATCGAAAATGCCATGGGGTGCCAAAAGAACCAACAGATCCATGTTGGAAGAAGTGCAGCCAGAGTGCTCCTTGGAGGCCAGGATGGCCAAACTTCATCTCTCATACTTCGGACATATTGTCAGAAGGGGCCAGTCACTGGAGAGGGATATCATGTTTGGTAAGGTGGAGGGTCAGAGAAAAAGAGGAAGACCCCTGCGAGATAGACTGGCAAAAGTGGCAGCATCAATGGGCTCAAGCGTGGCAACAATAGTGAGGTTGGCCCAGGATCGGGCAGTGTTTTGTTCTGTTGTATACTGGGTTGCTATGAGTCGGTACTGACTCGATGGCACCTAAAAACAACAACAGACTGCCCTGTGGGAATGAGGAGGCATGACCATCGGATGGGCTGAAACCTGCGGTGAGAATCCGAGGCCTGCCAGGAGCAGCAACACCTGCCCCGTGCTGCCTCACTTCCATCTGCCCTCATGCACTTTCTTCTTTACTTTTGTTCTTGATGTTGTTGTAAAGACAACAACATTGTTACATAACCATCAAGTCAGTTCCAATTCACAGTGAACCTGTATAGGGTTCCCAAGGAGTGGCTTCAAGGTGGGTTTGAACTGCCAACCTTGCAGTTCAAACCAACCTGTCGTCCAGTGCTTATCCT